AAAAAAAAAAAAAAAAAAAACCGTTCAATACCAAGCTTATCTAAACGTGTCTGAAAGAAATGGGATAAGTCTTCATTAAACATAAAGTAAGCACCTTTGCATATACTAACCTCATTGGACTACACCAGTTTCAACCCGCATGCCTATTTGAATCTACACATTCAATTAATTTGCAAAACAGACTCTAAAATCGACATAACACAATTGAATTTTACCAACAAAAAAAAACAAAACTCAGATTCCTTAACCTTAAGAATGGATAAAGCGCAAAGAAGATTCAGAGAAGAGATGTGAAAATCATCTGAGATGGAGGCTGAGTAGTGAGAAAGAGTGTGAAACGCCGCGTCTTGGCCGCTCGGAGCTCTCGGAGAGGATACAAACGACGGCTAGTCGCTAACTTGTTCGATCATATAAATGAATTTCTTACAGTATTGGGCCTATAACGGATTCGAATTAGGCCCGTTTATGGGTAACTTCAGAATTATTACTACTCACTGGATTCAAACCGTGTATATTGACATGGATAAACGACCACAAATTTTAAATTTTAAACATAAGATATGGTTGCTCAAAAGAAAAAACATATAATATGATATAAGATTTTAGTTAAACAATATTGTTTAGATTGTTTGTCAGATATATCACTTATCATTAGATCGAAAGTTTGGCTTGTTGTACAATGTTATAGACCAGCTTTCTCCAAACTTATAATTGTTGAATGATATATCTGAACAAACAAAACAATTATGCATCTCAGCACCGTTTATGGGGGGAATATTGTCATGTGGTAAGGGGCTTATATTATTTAGTTATTTTTGTGTGTATACTTGCCATTATTTCTTTTAAAATAATAAGATTCTTTGTTATTGTTAAATAATTGTGTATTCTAAAAATCGTGTTTGATGTTTCTAGTTTATCATGTAAACCAAAACTTGTATATGTATTTGATTTGGTAGATAAATCTTATAAGTTACAATAGACCACTACTTTGGTTGAAGTTTTAGCATCAAGTAGTGGGCTGCACTTCGCCTAATACAAAAGACACGCTTTTCTCTTATCTTCGTGTTTAATCTATTTACTTATAGACGACTGATCCATTGCTCTTTAATTTACAACTCTATTATTATTTAGTTTTTATTTTATTTTTTAAAGAGTTAGATTTTTTTTCTTCAAATGTAGATATAATTCAAAATAGTCAAAGACCATGTCAATATATAAGTTGATAGAATCCGAAGCAAAAGAGTTGTCTACATGTTATGAAGTAGTTTATCTTCAACCTCCCTCACCTCTCCTCAAACACTCTCCTCCAACAAGGTAAGACAAAAACTCTCTCAAATCATTTTTCTCGTCTTTATTGGATCTTAAACCACATTTTGGGTGATTCTATAGATTCATTTCATCTTCCTCATAGAATTTGATCTAAACTTCTTTTTAAATGATCTTGACATTATTCTCTTGACAGGTATTCAATTGCCGAGTGAACACAGAGTGCTTTAAGATCATCTAACCATGGCTGAGACCAAACCTGGTTAGTCTAATTTCAATTAATTAGTTCATGTAACTTTTGTCTTAAGACTAATGCAAACACAACATGTTGATATATCAGAAATAGAGATGTCAGAGGAGGAGAAGAAGATAGCCAAGATGTCTTCGCTGAAGAAGAAAGCAATAAACGCATCAAACAGATTCAAGAACTCATTCTCAAAAAAGGGTCGAAAAAGCAGCAGCAAGGTCATGTGTGTAACCATTGAAGACGACATAGACGCAGAAGACCTTCAATCTCTTGATGCTTTTCGTCAAGCTCTTGTCCTTGACGAGCTCTTGCCATCTAATCTCGATGATCTACATATGATGCTTCGGTATAAACTTCTTTTTTTTGTTTCATTACCATTCAACCTCGCTCTTTATTTCTTACCATAATCATGATATTAATTATGAGATTGATTGCATTCTAGACCGGACTATTAGGTGCCTGATAAGTTTGGTTGGACTAGACTTACTGGGAAAAAATAGGTCAAAAAGTAGATATAAACATCGACCATATCTGGATCATAACACGAATATTAGATTCCCATATTTATTTTTGTAGGTTAAAAAATTGTGTTAACAGAAATAAATTGCAAAGTTAAAAAAAAAAACTAATTTTCTTCTCAGTCACTAATATATGCAAAATATTTCTCCATACATAAGATAATATTTTAGTTAAAATAATCGATTTATCACGGGAAAAACACGTAAATATGCCAACTTTTTTGTTGTCACACGTAAACGCCAACTAGAAATATAATATGATACAAATTTTATTACCAGACGCTGTTAGTCAACCCATCCGTTTGGTTAGTTTACGACTTTAAAATCTCTTATATTTTAACCAGCACAACAATTTTTAAAGCATTTGATAGAAGAAAAAAAATTGAGTTTAGTAGAATTGATATAGTATGATTCATCTTCCCTCTTATATGATCTCGCTGTCATAATCAGAAACAATGCATCATCCAGAATATTCAATTTTAATATTGAACATAAAACAGATTCCTGAGGGCAAGAAAGTTCGACATTGAGAAGGCTAAGCAAATGTGGAGTGACATGATTCAATGGAGGAAAGATTTCGGCGCTGATGCAATCATCGAGGTGAATCTTTTTGCTAAGTTCTCGAAGCATTTTAGACACTAATTTTCACCTCATATTGATGAACACTCTTTGACAAGTTCTATAATCAATGTACGTTTCTAATTATGATGAAGGAATTTGAGTTTGAAGAGATTGATGAAGTCATGAAGCATTACCCTCAAGGCTATCATGGAGTAGACAAGGAAGGAAGACCAGTTTACATTGAGAGATTAGGTCAAATCGATGCTAACAAGCTGCTTCAAGTAACAACAATGGACCGGTACGTGAAATATCATGTCAGAGAGTTCGAGAAGACTTTCAAGATCAAGTTCCCTGCTTGTTCTGTCGCTGCCAAAAAACACATTGATCAGAGCACTACTATTCTTGACGTCCAAGGCGTGGTATATGATCTAAATCCATCCTACATGTCTCTGAATGCAATATGTTAGATTTTTCAATTGTCTAAAACTATTTGTGTTTTGTTCCGAGTGATTAGGGGCTTAAGAACTTTAGCAAATCTGCAAGAGAGCTTCTTCAAAGGCTTCTCAAGATTGACAATGACAATTATCCTGAGGTAAAGATTCTATAAGTTTTTGAAAAAAATTACATACTATATGAAAATGTAAGTAAAAAAAAGATCTTAAAGTTGTTGAGTTTGGGATATTCTTGTAGACGTTGAACCGAATGTTCATCATCAATGCTGGTTCCGGGTTCCGGCTCCTGTGGAGCACAGTTAAGTCGTTTCTTGATCCCAAGACCACTGCAAAGATTCATGTTCTTGGTAACAAATACCATAGCAAATTGCTTGAAGTCATCGATGCTAGGTAATATTCATTAAGTATAAGTTCTGCTTAGCTATAGAAACTTGCATATGCATTATTATTTTTGTATTTGTAAACAGTGAGTTGCCAGAGTTCTTTGGAGGCGCTTGCACTTGTGCAGATAAAGGAGGTTGTATGCGCTCTGACAAAGGTCCATGGAATGATCCTGAGGTTCTCAAGGTAATTAACGATTTACATATTTTTAATTAGACACTGAAATTTAGTTAAATTAAATCTATTAATTTCTTGAATCTTATACATACAAAAACATATTTTAGATGGCTATAAACCGCGAATCCAAGTGCGCACCAATTTCAGAAGATGAACTTAAGCATGTTGACCAAGGACGATCAACTTCATTTCAAAAAGTAGGTTAAAGATACAGAGTAATCTCTATTAATGCTCTAGGGTAAAATATTAGTACTCTAGGGTAATCTTCATCATAACAATACAATTTAAAATCATCTAACTAGTACTCTAGGGTAAGCCTATATCCTGATATTAATCTCTATTAACGCTGCAGAATCTTGATAGAAACAGTAAGAAAATGGATGAAGACAATGTGCATGAGAAGCAAGTTGCAACCATTGACAAGTCCATGATGGAATGGCCTACAAAACCTCAGAAAATTGAAAATTTTCCTGTCTCTAAAGGTATAATATATATATATACTCACATTTCAGCTCCATTTAAAAAAAAAAAAAGAAAAATCGCGTACTAAAGTTTCTCTAGGGGTAGAGTGCTACGTGATGAAGGGGGCACCGAAGAAAGGGGATGGGTTACTTGTGGGAGGGGTCATGGCCTTTGTGATGGGAATTGTTGCAATGGTTAGGCTATCTAAAGACGTTCCAAGGAAACTCACAGAGGCTGCTTTATATGGAAATTCAGTTTGTTATGATGAGGCTATGTCTAAGCATAACCAAGCTCATTTTGCAGCACCCGTCTCGAGCTCTGAGTATATTTTGATGGTGAAACGTATGGCTGAGCTGGAAGAAAAGTGCATGTTCCTTGACATGAAACCGGCTAATATTGAATCTGAAAAAGAGGAGAAACTTCAAGCGGCTCTTAACCGTGTTCAAGTACTTGAAGAAGAGTTGACTGAAACCAAGAAGGTATAACAAAACCTCAGAAAAAAATAATAATAATATAATTCTCAACCTAAAAATAATAATAATGTGGACTTAATTTTGTTTGGTTTAGGCTTTGGAAGAAGCTCTTGTAGGCCAGAAGGAGATTTTGGCATACATTGAAAAAAAGAAAAAGAAGAAGAAGCTGGTAAGAACCAAACATCAATTACTATATTAACTTGCAACATTATTGTTTCTCTTTATAATACCGGTTTAACGTCTTTCCAGTTTTTCGGGTTCTGAAGTGGTGAAAGGAAAGAAGATGAGTTGATCAAAACAAGGGTCTGACTCAAACTGAGAGAACTTGTTTGTGATTTTGTATTTTTTTTTAATGAGGAATAGATTCATCTTAAAAGCAACAGACTTGTACATTTATCTGAAGTTATCCTATTTGAGTTTTATTTTGCTTGTGACATTGTTTGTGTTGTTTTTCAATTTCTCTTTGACATTCCTTGTGATTTTGCCCATGAGATCACAGGTTTACTATACGTTTGATTGGGTTTGTATTATATCAATCCTCTGTAACATATTAGTCCTAGAAACTTTTTTTGGCTTTAGTCCTAGAAACCTAAATTAAACGTGATGGAGCTTTGGAATATTATCCAATTACTTTTTTTTCTAAAACAATATAGATGTAGGATTTGTTGTTGGTCATTGATTGCAAAAGATAGAACACAAATTTGATTTTTGTTTTCCTTTTTTGCCTTCGCCTTTATTACTTCCTTTGGTCATCTCTCTTTCGTGGTCTCTTTTTTGTGGTTACTTAGTCCCCACCAAAGATTATATGTATGTACCTTCCATGATATTCACGGATCATATTTTTCTTGCAACAATTTACTTTCCCTTGTATTTTCTACAGTATTTTATAACTATTTATAAAAGAAAACAACTATGTCAGTCGATATTCATATTCATGTATATGAAATTTGATATATCAAGACTAAAGGAGATCAAAGGAAACACGTGTTGGCATATCAACCAAATCAACAGATGTTCTTCTCTTTTGGGTCTCTCTAGCTACTAGCTTTATATGTGAAATATTGGGGATAACGAAATACACAAAGAAGTTATGAAAAACAGAGAGGAAGTAATTATTGTTATCAACAACGGTTCAACCATTTGTTGACTTCAAAGGCCAGACGATGTTTTTACTAAGGTCAGTAGCCACTGTGAATATTAGTGGAATCAATAATTGTACTTACGGGTTTAAAATATTCATTTTAAGCGTAAATCAAAATTGTAATCAAGTGAACACATGTACTTCCTCAGATTCTTTTCAAGATTTCGGAGAGACGTTTTTTAAGTCTGGAGAAACATCAATATCATCAATGATAATGCAAAGACTATAACATCTTTAACTGTTTTAATTTATTAGTGCAGCTAGAGTTAATGTGTTTGTTGAAACTCATGCAATGTTTTTGGGAAGTGAGCTGGTTCAGTGGATCTCTTCCACTTTCCAAAATATTAACTTTAAAAAGAAATAAGGGTAATGATTTTTATCGTAAAGTGAAAAACTTTTAGAGAGAAAATATCAATTGTGATTAGGACAACGGAAATACATTGATTAGCATATGTTTTCCGAACCTGCGCCATCCTAGCATTTGAAAATTAAGACGTATACATTTTTTGAAATATGATTTGAGAAGAACAAGAAAAATGAAACAGCTGTGTTGAGTCTGGAGACTTCTCTTCCCGACCTCACATGTCACTCTCACCTTTTCTTCCGCTGCCTACTTACACATGTTCTACTCATTTTTGCTCTAATAAGCACAGATTCCTTTGTGTTTGTAACCTCTAATCTCAGGCGTTTCATTCTTTTGTTTACTTTACATTTCTGCTATTTTATTTGGTGTTGGTGGTCTTTCACTTTTAGTTATATGCGTTTCATAGATTTTTCAGACAGGTTCTGGCTTCAATGGTTTTAATTTGTTTATCTGCTGATAGTACATTCTACGAATATTATTTCTTCCCCTTTCTGTCTTTACACGAATATGTGATTTATTTGAGAAAATTCTACAAGTAACTAAATTACAGTTTCCCCCTCAACTTAGCTTTTGCTTTTACGTATAGAAAAATCGAGGGAAAACAAAGAAAAGTTTCCATCTGCATTCTTCTTTGTAAAAGAATCTTTACTTTGCTTTTTTTTTTCTTTACACTTAAGAAAATCACAGTTTTCTAGTATTAAACATGATATGCAAGTTAAACTTTTCAGTTTCTGTTAAGCTTTTTACCTGCGTCTTAATTTTTTTCATTTTGCATATATCCAAAATA